GGGAGCATCTTTCCCGGGGGCGATCTCCACTTTCTTCAGTTTTTTCTCCGGGAGCACTACGCCCTTCCCGGACCGCTTCCTTTTCAGCTCCTCCGCTTGGGAGCTACCGGCGTTGGCACCGGTAATGACGGGAGCCATATTCTCCGAAGGCTCCTCACGTCCCTGGGTCCGGGGGGCCTCGCCCTTCTTGAAAAACTCGTCCACTGGCTTCTGCTGGGACGGCCCATCCTTCTTCTTTGGCGCCTTCGACGCCTTCGACGCCTTCTTCTTCAATGCGGCATAGGCCTTGACGTCCATTGCTTGACCTGAAAGGGAGGGAAATAAATGTTAGACAGTGGCAATCATGGGAATAGAAAAACTTCTGAGTACTAAAAATGTGGGCCCTCGGCAACAACCTCCGGCGCCTTGGTAGCCCCTGTCAACAAGGGGATATCTTTCGTCCTTCTCCCCGGCAAGACGGTATCGCCGAAAACCAAGGCGGTATAACTCATCCGAGAGGATAGCTTCCTTTATCTTCATCACCTTATCTGAGCCCTCCGGTTTGGCCGTCAGCTTTTTCCCCTCCTTGGCAAGGGCAGCATTTCCCACCTTCGGGTGCCTCCGGAAATGATCTCGGAGGGGGACGGAAAAAGGATTCTCCGCCATCCTTATATAGCAGAAGCGGTCTTTCCAATTCTTATGGGAGGAAGGGACCTCCGAGAACAATCTCCATTCCGGGATTTGTTGTAGGTTCGCGAAGCCTCCCGCGTGCGAATGACCCCCCCGGCAGAGGTTGAAGGATTGGAAGAATAAGTCCAATGTGGGGGTAACCCCCCGGCTGAGACACAGGGACAGGAAGCCCGCCAAATAGGAGTGGCTATTTGGCGTCAGTTGGCAGGGAGCCAGCTTCACGAAACGCAAGTACTCCAAAACAAACCAGTGGAGGGGGAAGCGAAGCCCCAATTCCACCGAGAGAATATGCACGGCGAAGCAACCCTCCGGAGGATGCAGCAACACGTCGTTAGGCCCCGGCTCTACTACTAACGCCGAGGGCCCCACTAAAAGCTGGGTCTTGAGGTACTCAGCCTCCCCGGCCTTCGTCTTTACGTCAAGGGCTGCTGTGTCAAGATACGAGTGGCCTTCGGGGATGCCAACCGGCTGCCCAGCATCGGCAGCCGCCTTCTTCTTCTTCGGGGCCGCCCTCAGCTTCTTCTTCCTCTTACCCGGAGCCACGCTGAGAGGTTCCGGATTCAGGGGCTGCGAACAGCTGGCCTCTGCATCATTGCGCGCCGGCAAGACAGCCACGGTCACCTTCAGCCTTTCCTTTTCTTCCTCCTCCTCGGCAGTCTGAACAGCGAGGGCCAGCTCCTCATCTTCTGCTACCTGTTCGAATTCCTCGGCCTCGGCCTCAATCCTGAGGGTGTCTTGGATCTCCTCGGCAAAAACGGAGTCGTTATTATCCGAAGACTGCACGCTGGAGGATTCTACCTCGGACTGGCTCTCCGATGCCACCGAAGCCTCCCTGGAGATGTCTTGAGAATCGTTAGCCGACGACATTCCTCGGTAATATGGAAGAAATGAAGGCTAAGGGTGTCCTAAGGGCACTCTAACACTGGACTAAGGGGGAGGAAGGAAAAATATGCTAAGTGTTTCAACAGATGGGAGAACTAACCTCGGGGATGGACCTTGTCCGAAGGGAATACTTTCTCTCTCTAGAAAAATTGGCAGAGCTCCGCTATCTCTCTAAAATCGCGCAAGGACAAAGGAGCTCAGGCTCAGGGTATTTATAGGCAACTGGGCCTCGAGAGTTGGGCTTCGATTTGAAAAGCCCATCATTACGGGCCGCCGCCTCAGCCTATGGGTGACACCCGCCCCCCATCTGCCAACGACAGAGCGCCACGTGGAACTCTCCTCCAACGGCTATATTACAACGACTATATTTCGGCGGCACTGGGAGGCCCTCGAACGATAGCCTCCGGTTATCGCTCACCGCAGCCTTCAGGCAACGAGTTCCACCAAACGCCTCCGAGCTTGCGGCAGCATCAGCCCCCGACTTGTCAATATTGTCACCCCTCGGGTTTGTATCAACACATCATAACTCCTTCAGCCCGAACTTGCCTTCGGCCTAAAGGAGTGGGGGACTGGGATACACCCCTCGGGAATCATGCAGGACAAAAATTCCTCATGCAAAGATTTACAATTGACGCAAGTAGCATCCGGGTGAACATCAAAGCAGAAACTTTCGGGTATATACTTCAACACATCCTTCGGCAGAGGTAGAGTATCAAAATTTTTCCCCGAGTCACTTTGCGGAAATAAAGCAACCCTCATCACAACACACGCAGGCAATACATCCATGCTTTCCTCAGAAAACCCTCGACGTGTGAGGGACTGAGGAAAGCCTTCTGCGGTCATACAGGTGTTATACTGCCCTCAGAAGACCCTCGACATGTGAGGGACTGAGGGGAGCCCCCGGCGAACATACGAAGGTTGTGAATACCTTCCCTCAGAAAACCCTCGACATGTGAGGGACTGAGGGAAGCCTTCGGCAGTGGACAAAGTTCTCCAGCAAAAGCATCCAGCGAAATGATGAAGCCTCCAGAAGAAGCAACACATCTACTCCTTTTCCCTCAAGTACCTTTCGGCAAAAGGAGTGAGGGACTCCTGATGGAGTATATGGCCCAGGAACCCCCAGCCCGTAGACTCCCACTTCTCCTACACAGGTCCATTGAGCTCAGGAAACAACTCAGGCCCAAATACCGCGGCCCAAGCCTCAAAGCAGCCCAGAATACACACTGGGGTGCCTTCGGCCTCCTTGGCCGAAGGCTCCAAAACTCACAGGATAGCCTTCTCTGGCATAAGAAGCTACCGGAAGAAAACGGACAAAAAGATGAGCCTTCGGCATTCTCATGCCCTCGGCACCAGGGGAAGCCCTCGGCTACACAAGGAGCCCTCGGCTACACAAGAAGCCTTCGGCTACACAAGAAGCCCTCGGCTACGCAAGGAGCCTTCGGCTACACAAGGAGCCCTCGGCAACACAAGGTGCCTTCGGCTGAACAAGCTCAATCATCGAAGATTCCTTTTAGAGACAGCCAACCACCGCATTTAATGCCACGTCGCATCCACCAACCGCATTCAATGCGGTTGACGTACCACTGCCGGTGCCACCAGGCTGATGTGACCCTTCGGCCGTTGGATTACTGACACGTGTCCTCTCATCGCATTTATTGGTGCTATAAATAGCAGCCCATTTCTCCTTGTAATGGACATCATCTACATCTCAACTCCACATCTCGAGTTCATTTAATAAAATCGACTCTCTCTCCTCCTATTTTCTCTGACTTCTCTCTAAGTTATTCCCATAATAACCCCTCGGATAAGATACCCCCCGGGTAGACTGTCCATCAGCTATATTTATCAGCTCGCAGGAACGGACCTTCTCTGCCCGGAACTAAGAAGATTTGGACCTATCTCGGTCTCTTCAAATTATAATAAAGTTGTAGCTACATAAAGATTGCCAAAGAAAAAGGAAATTTTGTTTTAATTCCTGTGGGGCCACAAAAATCACGCTTGCTCCAATTCATGGCAGTCTTTTCTAATTTTGTGGGAGTCTCAGATTTAGTACAGGAGGAGTCGATGCATTGGCTTCCAGAAATCATGTCAACTACAGAGGAGCCAACATCAATATCTAAGCTAATTTTTTATTGTCAAATTCGAGAAGCATACTCAGAGAAACAATGGTCTCTAATTCCATTGGAACAACACAGACTTATTCAGGCATACTCAGATGTTTCAGACAACTTTTATCAATCGGATGACTCTTTTTACATGGACGACTTTCTGGGACATGCAACTGAAAGCGATCGTCGTCCCCCTATCTCAACTCCGGCAGAAATTGCGAAATCAAAATTCAACAAAGCGATTTGCAAATAATCCAAGTTTGTCAATTCAGAAAATTGCCTGCCGACGGACAATTTGAACACTCAAATCAAAATAAACAGGAAATCTCAAAAGAATAAGTGGCGCCAGAAGACTAGGTCGCACTCTAGAAAATTTCCTTGGGTGTAATCTTAGGTTTTACTTTCTATGTACTTTTTTTGTTTCTTTTATTTCCTTTTTTGATTGTACTGTTTATTTTTCTTCAAAAAAAAACAAGCAGCTCTCGACTCGAGATAGTAGATAAAAGAAGACAATCTCCTATGTTGCCATCTTACACAATAAATAAAAGCCAAGGACAACCACAAATGCTGAGATTATTATTGAAGAGTCTTATTTTTAAACATTGATCTACTACATATTGCAATTTCAAGAGCTGCTACTATGGTGGATTGAAGATCGTAACCACTAACCTGCATGGGTGATGAGAATCACAATACTGAACTCACTAAATTTGTGTAGTCTTCAAAAACTTTTAAACGTGTTTTTCACTATTTTTTTTTTAAACTTTGCTTTTAAGAATCATTCATTACATGGACAAGTCAGTTCTAATTGGGACTAGGGGTGCACTAGGACGGGTCAGCCTGACCTACTATTGTGCAGGCCCGACCCTACCCAATTGACCGAGACCAAGCCCGCACTTTGATTTTAGTGGACCAGCCCGTGCGGGCCTAAAGGTCAACTGGTCAAGAATTTCAAAAAAGACAAAATTTGGACTAGGAATTATTTGGCCCGACCCAGTCCCTTCCCCAAGCCCGCCCAGGTAACCTGACCCGACCCGGTCCAGTACAAACCCGGGCTGGTATCGGGCCTAATAAGTTTGGGCCCGGAGCCCGGCCTGGACCAGTCCACCCCTAATTGAGACCGGTTCCAGTTATAAAAAGCAATGCAACACAACTTAACTCCAAGTCTCACCAATCTAGCTCTTGTTTTGAGCCTATAAATGGCAATACTGCAATGGTTAACTCTGAGACTGACCTTATTTTAGAAGAACTTAGAACCACTTGGGACAATTTCCAGGAACCAGTACCAAAAACCAAAAACCCCATTACCACACAGGTGGATCCTTATTTTGGTCCATTCATTCCAAATACGCCGTACTTCCATAATCTTTATTTGGTTATTTTCCCCAAAAGCCTGTCATCCCGGGGTGGCATACCTAGTTAAGGTAGTTATTGAAAAAAACAGCACATGCCATGTTCAGATCATTACAATTATACCTTCTAACTAACAAAAAAAAATTAATAAGTGATACGAACACAGCAATAGACAGTAAGTTCGGGCTCGTATCAATTAGTACACACCCAATCCAACTTATAACTTATTTACAGTAACCTGTACATCTGATCAGTCATAATTTAAAAAATGACTATCCGAGTTTGCCCTTCCTTTGTGACCACAGTGCACTCTGAACAATTCTTTGATCCATTTCCAGGAACAAAATGTTTCACATTTCAAAGAATGTGCCTGAAGGTGAGGTTGATTCGTACTGCCTCAGCTTTTGCACGCTTAGGCACAGAATGGAGCCAATCCCGTTGAGTATATCCTCTCATCAGCAACAATGACCCATGTTTCAGTGCAAAACGGTGTTGCTCCGTATTGCTATGCTTTCTAGATCGCTTTTTCGGAGCCTCGCCCTCACCATTTTTACCTCAAATGTTTAATAACACAAAAACCTCAGGAAGAGAACATTGAGCAATGAGGTCAATTGCATCTACCTCTCCCAATGATTAATCTAATACCAGAAAACACTCAAGATTTCTGAAAATAACGAACAGGTTCTTTGACCCGTTGGATTTTCAACTTTGACATAGGAGATTATATTCCATCGGGTTCTTACTTCTTATTACGAAGTAAAACACATGATTCTGTTTTTCACATAGATTAAAGAAATGATAAAAGCGTTTTAAATAAGGGAAAATTTCTGTTTACACCCCATATGTGTGAATACATATGTAACAGTGTAACTTGTACAAGTATTTAGGAATTAGAATCACCTAAATGTCTTACAAATAGGACTGGAGGACGATACACTGGATTTGATGTTTTCTAATGACTTTTTTGTTACTAAAGTATTTAAATCTATCTCTAAAACATATTTGGGACCAATAATGAGTATAACTATACTTTTCTGAAACCTCAAGGGCTATTTTTTTTATTGAACCTTGGGCAAGGTAGATGCAATTAACCCTTTGACGTATTGCCAAAAAACTGACCACGTAGTAATTTTAAAAAGACATCTTTGGGGGCAGGGTTATTTAAACGTTGAGCATGAATACAAGTTATTGCATGAAATGTACCCACACACTTCAGTTGAACAAGACTGTCAACTCACTGGCAAAAGTCAAAAGAGAATTGGAACACATTCATCAATGATACTTCCTTCGTTCTACTATAATACCAAAAGTTTGACTTTCACGTTTTCCAAGACATGACTTTAACCGTTAATAATTTAGTTATCAATTCTTGAAAAATTTTAGAGAGTGATATTTTAGAATTATAAATTGAGACAATTTTCGCAAACTTGTACATAATAGGATTAGTTTTTATAATTATAGAAACATATGGTCAAGTAGGATATGTAAATAGTGTCAAAGTTAACAGCTAAAATTATTAAAGAGCAGATAAAATATTGTGTATGACATATGCCTTACCCCGGGAAATTTTATTTGGTTTCTTTTTTAAAAAGAAGTCCCTTTCACATCCTAGGGATACAGATGCTATTTGCGGAGTGGGCCCATAAAGTTTCTCATCATCAGCATGCCATCCAACATAGTCGTTCCCTCCCTTGTACCTATTCAAAAGCAAGCTGTTGAAGAAGGTTCCGGGAATAGCTTTATGAACCTGCACATATGTATAACATCAAACATAAACTAAACAAAGATAGATCTGATCATGAATCATGCAAGCATTTGGAGTGCAAATATTAAATAGAAATAAAAGCATTCTTACAGCATCAAGAATCTCCTTGAGAGGAGGGAATTCTTCCCAAGAATATGCATGTGGTTGATATCCACTGTAAACCAGGTCTGGCAACCCTTCACCCGCAATGTAGCAAGTATCCCTAGGCTGCCGTAAGATGTCGTTTGTTAGCCTCAATATTTTTAAAAGTGTCTTCACATTTCAAAGGGCAGGAAAGATATTCCTAGTCGTAAGCAAGAGGTTGGGCCTCACCTAAATACAAAACAAAACTCAAGAGATGAGCATTATCCAACACTTATTAAATATTAAGATGTTCATTCATTCACTTTGAGCCGACGTGGGACACTTTTCATCATGCATATGGGGTAATAACATTGATAGGGAAAAGTTTGGTAAATTCCTTGAAAACAAGAGAATACCTTTCCCACCAAGGGTTGATTGGAATTACTTTCAAGTACTTTACTGAGAACAACATATTTACCTTCCTAAGGATTTAAATGAAAGGAAGGCGCCAAATGTCCTCTATGAGTTTAAACCACATAAGTATGGTTTTCCGTAAAAAGGAAGTACTGTGAAGAACGGGTAAACCACAGGAAAAAAGATAGACATTTGTAATTTCCTTCGTCACCGTGATTTTTTATCTAACGAGTCACCAACGATTGGTTGTTCAATCCATTGTTTGGAATGAAATTAAATCAATACCATACATCCTAGGTTTATGTGCATATACAAATTCATAGTATTAAGTTATTAGTATTAATGTTAGGGCTCGTTTGGTATGATGCAAAGTAAACACTTTACGTGTAAAGTGTAGGGAAGTAAACATTTTACACTGTTTGTTTTAAATATATAATGTAAACTGTAGGACACTTTTTTTAAACCATTTTACATTGTACCATGTAAAATATTTTACATGGGGGGAGGGTAGTAAAGTATTTCACATTTTCACATCCATTAATAAGGAGCGTAAAATATCAATTTACTACGTAAACCTAGGTTTTAGAAGACCGCAGTTCGGCGGCAAAGGAAAATCTGGGCGGCATGTTTTATATACAGGTTGCTAGTAGTCCAGCAGCTGTCTGGTTCAATACTTGCAACGTGTGTACAGATGGGCAGGCCTTAAACACTCCCTTGAATCAGAAGAAGCTTAATTTTGTGTATATTGTTATATACAGCTAAGCCAATGCCAATTTTGACTCGTGGCATGTATTATGCTTACTAATGCTCTCTACGTCTTCTCAGAAACATATTTAGCTAGAAACATGTTGTATTTAATACAAGTTTACAATATTTTCTTTTCAAATTCAAAGGTTGCAGGCCATTCTCTGATTCTATGCTATAGATTCTCTGGCACCGTTTAATTTGGTCAACTGTGAGCTATGTAGTTTAGTAGTTACTTTATGACACTGTAAAGAGTTTGCATGTAATATAAACAGATTACACACATGACGAAATGATGTATTTTTATTTTACATGTAAATTATTTTACAGCCCTAAACTTTACATGCAATCACTTTGCATGTAAAGTTTTAAACTTTTAATATGTAAACTATCAAACGGGCCCTTATAGTTCAGTTTAACAAATTGATAGGTTATTAGGTTGCTAATTTTCTATTTAACACGTGTTCAAAAAAGGCCTAATTTTTATCTGGTTGTGCAGAGCCTTTGTTTTCTTAGCACGGGCCCTGTACATAAGTTCCACACACAAAAAAAAAATCTTTATCAAACCAGAAATCAGGTTACCATTAGAACATTAGTTATCCTGCACTCTTAACTCTGCTATAGTCTAGGAATATGTTCGAAGAACTAAGCTATGGAGTAGGAATTCTTAAGCTGAGAAAAGAATTCGAAGAGAATAGAATTGCATTAGAGGGACTGTGTTATTACAAGCAGGCATATGTACAAAGATGGCCGAATGCCTTATTTATAGCCTTTTGGTATTAATTCAGTTGGATCTTTTATTTACTAACAAACTACCTATCCAACTGTTTATTCCTGGCCCACCTAACTGTCTCAACCACCCAGTTACATATCAAACTCAACCTTAAAATACACAATTTAGTATTATCAGAAATGGGTTGGTTACGATCCAAGGGAATACAATAAGTAAACAAAACAAAACAATGATTTAATGATAAAATGCGTAAACCTGTAGAAAGGGTCGACCGAATACGCGAATGGTGGGTCGAGTCCAAGGAATGTTCTTGTTAAGGTATTCAAAATAATGCCAAGATTGGTCGTAGGACAGGAATTTGGATATATAGATCACCTCGCTCCCATTCCCAAGATCCACTTCTTTTCTTGAACTTTTTACTATTGCGACGGCTTCCTCATCCTCAGTCTCGAGTTGCCTGCTGCTCTCAGGTTTTAGGATAAGGTTCGTCGCCATTTTTAGGAAGAGAAAGATCATAAAAGCGGGATACCAGGGATCTCAACCAGGGAGTTTGGAACAAAGTTTGTCAATTTCAAAATAAGGTTCACCTAGGTTTTTCACTGTTTTTAAGAAAGAAAATAATATACTATCCTCCCTTCTATAATTCTTGCAACAGTTTGACTTTCACGGTTGCCAATGCACAATTTTGACTGTAATTATATTTAATTATATATTAGTAAACGTTATAAAAAGTTGATATTTTGGAAATTCACATTGATAAGAGTTCAACAACATTTTATACGTAATAATTTGATTATGTATATTAGTAGAAAATCATGGTCAAAGTAAAATCTGTGAATAGTGTAAAAATCACAATGTTGCAAGAATTATAGAACAGAGGAAGTAAATAATATATAGATGATCTATGGTTAAAAAACAAGAAAATTAGTATGTTTAGGAAAAACTTACTAAAAATGAAAAGGACGACAACTTAAAAAAAACAATGGCATCAATATTAGTATATTACTCCCTAAGTTTCTAATTCTAAAAATATAACCATTTTACTTTTTTCCCAAAAAAAGTGACCACTTCCCTCTCCATTTGGGTCTCAATTGAGGGAAAAGGAGGACAGAACTTACAGTCGAAGAAATGTGCAGAAAAGTTGAGAAGGACTCTCGAGAAGCTCTGAACGATTCGTATATTAAGAAATATACGAATAATTCTTCGTGATTTCATCCATTCTTTATAAAATAAGTCAAAAAGTTGAAGAACGTTCGAAAATCTGAAGAAGAAAGCTTGAAGATTCGAAGATTCGAAGAACAAGGCTTTGAAGATTCGAAGATATGATGAATGACTCTTTGAAGATTTGAAGATATTCATATGAAGTTTGAATCAAGATTCATCTGAAGATCAAGCCATATATCCCGGAAAGCCCTTAAACAGAAGATCAAGCCATAAAACGATCCTTTTGTTGAAGATAAAGCTACTTGAAAACCGGAGGCCCTTCAAGCTGAATTCATTATTCAAGAATATTCAAAGAACAAAACTTTGAAGATTTGAAAATCCAAATAACGAAGGTTCGAAGATTTGAAAATATGAAGAACGTTCGAATATTTGAAGAATTAAAGCTTTAATTTCAAGTTAAATTCTTTAATTATATTATTGCAAGTAAAAATTAGAGGATTCATATTTAGAGATTGTACCTGATATTCTCATATATTATTATCTGCGATCAATTTTAAGTAAATACTTAAAATTTGTTTCACCAACCACGCAATTTCACTTTTTCTTAAAAACCACACAACACCCCTTTGTCCCAAACTTAGAGGGACATAGATAGTAATTAAAATACATGTAATACATCTTTCAATTTTTTTTTCTCTAGAATGAGTACTTCCATGTCCCTCAAAACTTTGTCAAGTTTGACCGGCACAGGGAATATTAAAGTAAAACTATGTCGTTAAGTTTTGTGCAGAAGAAAGAGAAATGATAGGAATCATAAAATGATTGACTAAAATGAAAAGTAACAAAGTTTTGGGACAACAAAAAATGAATAGATGACAAAGTTTTAAGGGACAAAGAGAATATGAAGTAAGATTAAAAAATTAAACCCCAAAGTGGCGTAATTTTATATCGGAATGTTCGCATAAAAAAATTGATCTATAATTATAAAAGTAAGATTTTAATATAAAAAAATTGCTGAATGAATATATTGACAGTATTGAATTGCAATATAAACTGAATTAAGCAAAGGAATGCAAATAAACTAGTGAAAACTTAGATATATTGATGGACCTGAGTTAGTGTTATGTAACAAGGTAGACTAAGGAAGGGTTTTAAATACTCCCTCCCTTCTATAAAATCCTTCTAATTTTCCTTTTTCCATCGTTCCAAAAAAAAATCTCCCCACTTACTATTTTTGAACCATTTATAGGGCTCACATTCCTCCTTAGAGCATCCGCAATGCAACTCTTTCTAGTCTAAATTAATTATGCCAAATGTCAAATTATTAAATGGCTTTCTAATGCACATAATAAATAGTGGAGTGATTAAGCATTAACACATGAAAGGAGTCTCCAATGCATAAAGTCTCAAAGTCGAAGTTAAATGATGATAATGTGCAATTTATTTAATAAAAAGCTATTTTTTCTTAAAATGGTTACCCTACAAAATCAATATTTTAATCGTAAAGCAATTATAAAGATGTAATTCATGTAATACGTACTCCCTCCGTCCCTAAATGTTGTTCCAATTGCGGATTACGAAGGTTGACCGACGATAAAGTTAAATGATCCCTGTGAAAACTCGGATTATTTTTAGTAAATAAAATTTACATATTCAGAAGCTGCATTAAACCCGCTACAAAGCCTGCAAAAAATAATTCAACTTTTATAAAATTTTGATATAAAAAGTAAGAGTTTAAGAGTGATTTAAGTTGACCCTCGATAAACGAAATGGAACTTCTTTTAGGGACAGAGGGAGTAATAAATATGGCTTTTGCTCTGGAGGGATTCTTGAAGTTATATACGTTTCTCACATGGTTTATATATACATATTATATTATATTATTATATACTCCGTATATATATATATATATATATATATATATATATATATATATATATATATATATATATATATATATATATATACACATATAATTATATACTCCATATATTGATAAAACTTAGATCTCGTGAGTATTCTCACCGAATCTCAGCGTTTGTGATTATATATATAATCTATATAGTGCGTATTAGGGCATCCACATCCATAGATTATTTTTGAGATCATGATGATGTGGAAGATTTTTTTTGGATCATGGATGAGGAGTTGAGATTATTTTATGAGATTATTTGATAAAATAATCTGGTATCAAATTCTAAAGGTGGATTATTTTGAGATTATTTTCAACTTCTAGGCATATACTCATAATTATGATGATGACTAGTTTGTTAGGAATTTAATTCACGCACACGAAAAACAATAATGAAGAACACACGAAATTTGGTAACCCAGTTCGCCACGAATGACTACGTCTGGGGGCGCTATCAAGCCAGAAATATTATTGTTATTTTCGGATCCACACACAATGATTACAAGGGAGAGAACTTGTATTTATAGAGAAGTAAATCCTAACCCCAAGGCAACTAGGATGTGTTTCCTAAAATAAATTAAGAAACGTGTTTCCAAAAATAAATTAAGAAACTGTCTCTAACACCTTACAATCTCCCACCTAGAGACTGTCTTCTTCAAACCTCCCTTGTAAGCATGGTAGCGCCGGCCTTCATCTTCAAGTACCCAGGCCAATGCAAAGCAATGCAAATCTTCAAATTCCTAACAAACATGTCTGCTGGATTCTCACTCCCACGGATCTTCACGAGCTGCAATGCCTCTATCTCAAGAAGATGACGAATGTAGTGATACTTCAACCGAATGTGTTTGGTTCTCTTGTGAAAAGCTGAGTTGTTGGTCAAGAAGATAGCACTTTGACTGTCACTATAAAGAATGATATTCTTGTACTCCTTCCCAAGTTCCCCAAGTAGATTCTGAAGCCACACCATCTCCTTACTTGCCTCCGTAATGGCCACATATTCAGTTTCAGTGGTAGATAATGCAACAATCTTCTGCAACTGCGAAAGCCGTGAAACCGCCGTTCCACCAAATGTAAAAACATACCCGGTGGTGCTCCTCGATCCATTCGAGTCATTCGATGCCAGGTCTGCATCAACATGTCCCAGCAGCTCTACATTCATCCAAGATGAGGTACTTTCAAATACCTCATGATCCACTTCACAGCTTCCCAATGTTCTTTCCTGGGGTCTCCCATGAATCTGCTCACTACTCCCACCGCATGTGCAATGTCTGGCCTTGTGCACACCATCGCGTACATTATGCTGCCAATTGCCGATGCGTATGGGACATTCTGCATTTGAGCACGCTCCTCCTTGTTCTTCGGTGAGTCTTCCTTGCTAAGCTTGAAGTGACTACCCAACGGTACACTTGCTGCCTTTGCATCTTGCATTCTGAATCTTTCCAAGACCTTCTGAATGTATTCTGTCTGTGAAAGATACAATTTGCCCGCTGCCTCATCCCTCTCGATTCGCATGCCCAAAACTTGCTTCGCCTCTCCAAGATCCTTCATGGAAAAATGTTCTGACAATTGTTTCTTCAGCTTCTAAATCTCCTTTGAACTAGCTCCTGCAATCAACATATCATCAACATATAATAGCAAGATAAGATAACAGTTCTCGGTCTTCTTGTAGTAGCAGCAATTGTCGGCGTGACATCTCAAGAAACTGAATTCACGCATGAAACCATCAAATTTCTTGTACCACTGCTTCAGTGCTTGCTTCAACTCGTATAAGCTCTTCACTAGCTTACATACGAGATTCTCACTGCCTTCCGCCACATAGCCCTCTGGTTGCACCATGTAAATCTCATCATTCAGATCACCATGAAGGAATGCAGTCTTCACATCCATCTGATGTAACAACAAATTCTCTGCAGCAACTAACCCCAACACTAACCGAATAGTAGTATGTTTCACAACTGGAGAGAATATGTCAGTGTAAGCAATACCATAACGCTGCTCAAACCCCTTCACAACCAGCCTAGCTTTGTAGCGTTTCCTACCATCTGCCTCCTTGATGCGGTAGACCCACTTGCAGTGCAAAGCCTTCTTTCCTCTTGATAGCTCAACAAACCTCCAAGTATCATTGGATGTGAGAGATGCCATCTCATCATCCATTGCAAGTTTCCACTTGCCCTTGTCATCAACCCAAACTGCCTCTGCATAGGACTCCGGTTCACCACCATCAGTAAGCAACAAATAGAAATTAGAAGGTGAATACCTATTTGGTGCTCTCCGGTTTCTGGCAGGCCGCTGCCTTGGTGGGGTTGATGGATCTTCATCACTGCTCAACTCTTCATTTTGATCCCAATTGCTCCCACCCGAATTAGAGATATCTAACTTAATGATCTTCAGATTATCTTGCTCTGAATTAGAAACACTCAATCTGTCCTTGTACATAACCTGCTCGTTGAACACCACATCTCGACTACGAATAATCTTCCTATTCTGATCATCCCAGAATCTGTA